TGTTGTTCACGAGAGTTCAGTGACAGTGGGAGAGGCCACATTAACCCTCATGTCCAGGCCCTGGACTTGGGAACCCTGATATCTTGGTCAGACCCAAGCAGGGCTCTGGAAGAGGCTATGGGAATGGCTTGATCTCCACATTCCTGGTGAAAATATTCAGCCCTCAGGTCCCATGTGAGCAGGAATATTACTCAGTTCATTCAGTGGCCATGTTCTTCCTCCAAGGAGAGCTTCCTGGGTCTAGGCTGTGAACTTGTAAAGTGTCTCTTAGAACAATGCTTCTCATATGTTAACATGGGCACCAATCATCTAGAGATCTTGTTCAAACACTGACTGTGATTTAGTGGGTCTGGGCTGGGGCCCGAGATTCTGCATGTCTGATATTGATCTGCTGGTTTGTAGATGTGAGGCCTTTGACATTACTTAACTCTGGGCACTGTCACTCTGTTAGGAAACTGATCACAGACGCATACTCTGTATATCCCACTACAGTACAAATCCCCAAACATATGAGGCCATGGTCTAATTCATCCTAATACCTCCTGCCGCAGTGAAGGGGAGGCTGGCTTCAGTGGGCTCCAATGACCACTGGGAGCCCCCACTTAGCAGGCAGGGAGACAGGTCATGACTGCTGGAAAAACAGGCTGTGCCATAGCCCTGGAATAGCATTAGAGTAAGGGCTAGACTCCCATTCCTTGGGGGAGGCACAGGGTCTCAAGGTCCATGGCTTTAGGGAGCCCATCAAGACATGAATTCCCGACTGAAAGAAAGGTGTCAAAGTCCAGGTTAGCAGCAGCAGAGAGGCAGATGTGACAAAGCATTCCGATCTTCCACCTGGCTAGCTGAGTCCTCATTGAAAAATCATAGGTGATGGAAATGTCCTTGCCTCTGGCACATTTTCCAGATGTCTCCAAGATGCCTGTGTACCTACAGCCCACTAGTCACACAAAATCCAGTTGCTTTTGTAAAGAATGTAAATCTGATTCTTTTAGTCCTCTGCTTAAAATCCTCCCAGGGCTTTCAATTTCTCTCAGGATAAAGCACGAACTCTAGGAGCCCTGCACAACCCGACCCTGCCCACACACTTTCCATATGCTCTCATCATCATGATCCCCCTACTCATGAAGCTTCAGTCACTCTGACCTTCTTCCTATTTGTTAAACATCCCAAAGTCATTCCTGCCCCAGGGCCTTTCCACTAGCTATTTTTCCTTCAAGTGTCATCACTGCATTATGTTCAAAGACTCCACTCATAGGCAGTTTCATATTGGAGAGAAACTCCAAAATGAGGTATAAACCTTTGATTTTGTGGGTTTGACATAGATTTATTTTTCTCTTGATTCTTACCCATTGAAGCCCAGAATAATATGACACCTTCGTATTATAAGAGGGGACTTAAGCCCAGAGACGGAATGAGACATAATCAAAGCCACTCAGATTTGGGGCGCAGAACTGTTCAAGGATAGACCCAGAGGTTGTGACTCAGACTCATGGGAAAAGAAATTTAATTATTTAAACTTACTTGAACCTACTACACTGAATAATATTTCCAGTGTTTACATAGCCATAACCCTCCTTTACTGCACCCACTGCTCCTTTTTTGGCTTTTGACTTTGTCAAGTCCAAGGTTGTATACAGGAACATACAGAGAATCCTAGACTTCTCTTCTATTTGTGTTATCCTATTTTCCTTTGTCACAAAATACACTTTTTGAGACCAGAGGAGGGTGAGTTATAATTTATGGGTTCCTCTCTAGAAATTACAACCAGAACCTAATTTTAAAAATCAAATTGGTTTCATCTAATTAAATTTGGAAATTGCCTCATAAACACATACTCTGTTATAAATGTCTTGAAAAGCAAGGTCTCCTCCTGCTTACTATCTGGGATGGGAATGGGTTGAACCCAGCATGGAAGGGCCTCCCTGTCTCTCTCTGCTCAGGAGGACATACTCGCTCATCAATTGCTGAAATTTTCTCAAGAGTAGTGTGGTCTAGAGCAGTGCTTCTCAAACTCTCACGCCCACGTGAATCACCCAGAAAATCTTGTTACCAGGAGACTCTGACCAAGGTGGTCTGCTGGGGCCTGAAAGCTGCATTTCTCACCAGCTCCCAGGTTATGCCAATGCCGCCAGTCCACCGACCACACTGAGTAAGGGGCAAGGCGTCGGCACTTGAACTCAAGACCCACGAATCTGCCATCTCAGCTGTGACCTTGGTCTTCACACCTCAACTCTCTGGGTTTCAATTTCTTCATTTTTATGTACTGTGAGAGCTAACATTCATTGATGCTATTTCTAAATGCCAAACACAGCATTGAACATATAAGTATGTGTACAAATGAATATAAATGAGAAGCCCCTTGCTGTACCCACGGTTACAATGGCAGAGCTAGAGTTCAGAATGAAGCTGTCTGACCTCAAAAGCCAACATTCTTACCTTCGGAGGTCCCACTAGCCTCTGATGCACATGGTCATAGCCACGTTTATGCTCAAAATACAATGACCTCAGCCCATGAACTCCTTGGCTCCCTTCATCGCATCATCTAAGATATTTAGCATATTCCCAAAAGGTGACCTCCAGAGCTCATGGAAAAGTCAGATAGCTGCAGCCTTCCATCTCTCACTCTCTGTAATCACAGCACAGGAAGCAGCTGAGAAGCCAACTGAAGGTGTCTCTCCAGAGCTGTGTCCAGGAGAGCCCATCACAGAAATACCAGCATCCCCGGTGACTGGTCTTTGGAAATCGACAAGGTACAGGACTCACACACAACTGAGAAGGGTGCCCTGTACCGATCTGTGCCCACCATCGAGCCCAGAGCTCCAGAGGTCTCATATGCTGAGACCTCAACTTCATGGAGCTGCTGCTTGAACAGGGTGTATCACTCACAGCTGGGACCGCTCCCTTGCGCTCTCTCCACCCCATCGTCTCTTCTTCTCACACAACAGCATGAGCAGGTTTCCTAGCCCATTCCATGCACACATCAGAGGAGGCAGGATACTTCCCAAGTAAGAAATTGGTCCGTGCAGGGATATGACGTCCCCTGCAACATGGCCCAGCCCAGTGGTTTCCAAGTGCAGCTGGGTACAAAGACTATAGGGCCTTTTCAGGACAAAGTTGTCCTCAATTCAAGGCAAAAAGAAAAAATAAGGAGACTCATGAGTTATTCATAAAGCTAAATTTATTCAATTTGAAGGACTGCCTTTTATTCTGAAATTATGTCCTTTCTGTATTTTTGAAGTTATGTCTTTTATGAAATGATGTTAATAAAAAATGGTAAAGAACTGGATGTTGGTCCTCCAAGCCTTTTGAAATGTTACTGGCCTGTGAATTCCAAAAATCTTGAACATCTGGCATAGAGAGCCATTTACATAACAGCACCAAGTGAGCGCGCGCGCGCGCGCGTGCGTGCGTGCGTGCGTGCGTGTGTGTGTGTGTGTGTGTGTGTGTGTATGCGCACGCGATGGCAGCTTCCACTTCACAAAGAATGGCAGGTAGCTCTGAACTGACGAGGCTTTGTTTCAGCTGAGTTTTTGGTCCCTCTCTCCCCCACAATGAGGCACTTCTGAACATGTCCTGGGCAAGGTCGATATGGTACCTCCCCGCCCCTAGCAGCTTCCTGCAGGAAGGAAGCTTCTCCCAACCATGTGGGCCCAAAATGGAATATGATACAGCTCTCCTTTTGAGGAAGCTGGGATTTGCTGAGTGAAGGCATTTTCTGAAGGTGTTACACCTTGTACATGATGGATGGTTTTCTCCTTCCTCAGAGAGCTCTGAGGTCCTTCCAGGTCTCTCTAGAGAGCTTCTGTGTCCATTCAATTCATCCTAAATATTTCTCCATCACCAATACTCTTTGATTTCCCTCCCTTACGTGGGGATATTCTTTCACAGCTCACTCTCAATACCTCAATACCTCTCAGTACCTTTCTGCATGAGCTCTCAGGGGCTGCATTGCATTTCAGCCTGGGGATGCTTGTAACCTTTCCCACCTCAAACCCTCTACAGGAACCCTAATGCAGCCATTACCACTCTCATCTTAGAGGGGAGCAGCAGGCCTGGAGAGAGGAAGACCCTGAAAAAGGTTATGAGAGACCACAGCGGTGCTACTGGGATGCTGGGGGCCATCACGCGAGACCCTGGCATGCAGGGCTCCATCACTGCAGCTTTGGCTTCCATACCCTTCCTTCTGCACTGCTGTGGTCTCTACTGCAGCCCGTACCACAGTCTCCCAGCATCTCAGAAGATTCAGGGTGGGAGGATAGTCAACCTTGACCACATCTCAGTACTTGAGTTCAGCTATATCAGCCTCGCTGAAGTTTCACTGTTTTTGTTTTGCAATAGACTTCTATACAGTTTGTTCTAAGTTTGAAAGTTTTCAGGAAGCCACATTGTGTTGGCTTGATGGGTACCTTACTGTCTGAGGAGGTTCTGCTCCATCTCTGATATGATGTCATATCTCTGATAGGATAAGGCCCTGCTAATGCTGGGAGGGGAGCTTCTGATACCATCACCTGAGTAACAATAAAATATGCTGTGGCCAAAGAGCAACATTAAAACTTAAGAATCACGCACCCCCAGGGCAGAGAATGACTTCGGGATTTTTTTCTGGAAGCCCAGAAACTAACAGGTGTAGGATGAGCATCATCTGGGTGTTGTGGTTTTCCACGTAAACTGAACTATAACTACTGTGTGCTGGGCCTGGGTCTTCTGGGCTCTGCTGGGACAGTCTGCCTCCCTGAGTGCCTACTCCTTTCTAAAGAGATAAATAATCACTTCAATGTGTGGTGTGTCCAGTCTTCTGGGTCACTGGGGCTGTCAAGCTGCTCATCTGTATGACCTTGTGTTGTCTTCTCACTGTATTGTCTGAAACCTTTGGGTAAGATGTGTCTTACTCACCTTCATGCCCTCACTGGAGCCCTGCACCCAGTAGAAATTTTCCAACTTCAGGCTGAAGTCAATTGAATGAAGCCAAACCAAGAGGTATAGCAAAGGGGTCTTCTTACCTCATACAGTGTGATGACCCCGTTGGTCTCATTGGGAGGTTTCCACTGGATGTAGATCTTCTCCTCAAAGGGCCCTCCTTGGATAGATTCTAGGGGAACAGCTCCTGGAACTACAGAAGGGAAAAGGAACTTGATGGCACCTACCATCTCATTTCCCAAGCCCCACTGAATTAGAACAGCAGTTGGCCAAGCTTTCCTGTAAAGGGTCAGATGATACTTTAGGCTTTGTGGACCTTACAGTACCTGCTGTAATAGCTCAGCTTTGTGCTTGTAGCACAAAACAGCCACAGACAATCCATATACAAATGGGCATGGCTGTGTTCCCATAAAACTTTATTTGAAAGAAAAAGACACTAGGCTGGAGTTGACCCCTGGGCCATAGTTTGCTATTCCCCCTCCCCCAGGTGACCAAATGGCTTTTTATCTGCAGACTAAGCAAGTCTGTGTTTGAATTAAACCTGAGCAGTGTAGGCAGGACATCAAGAGGCCCCAGCCCTGCCATCAGGTAGGATTCTAGAATTAGACTCTTGCCTTAGGATTGGTAACCGAGGAATGCAAAGTGAGCATCACTACCATCTTCCTGGACCTACCAGAGTCCCCAACTATTCCTCAGTTTCCGAATTGCTGAACCCAACAGGATCTATGTGTCTTGAAACCACACCAATTAGAAAAGTCTGTTTCACTCCCAGAAGGCAGCTAGTTTGTCTCACTGCTGAGTCTCTGATGCCTGGCACATGGTAGATGCTTAATAAGCATTTGTTGGTTGGTCAAGCAGGTGAATCGATGACCAATGCCAGCATTTTGCCCAAATGAGCAAAACCTTTCCTGGGAGGCTTTTGAACCCAGCTCAGCCTTCCTGCCAGCACCTTCCTGCTGGATTCCAGCATCATTATGATGGTCCAGAAGATGCTGAGCCATAAAATAAATGATTCTCCAAACTTGCAGTTATAACCCCCCAGGGAATCATGAATTCATGTAAATCATTACTGGATCTATTTATATTTTGGCATTATAAAAGCAGGTACTTTTACTAAGCACTTACTCTTTGATCAGAATTTTACATACATTATTTCATTTAAGCCACAAAACAGCTCTGCCCAGGATGTATTATCTCCGTTGTGCTGATAAGGGAACTGAGGCTAAGAGAATTAAATAACTTGCTCAAGGTCATCTGGCTCTTAAGTTGTAAAGAGGGAACTGAACACCTGTCTATGAGCTTCAAAGCATATACTCTTAATCATCATGGTACGCCTCTCTCGATATAGCCTTGGCCATATGTTGCAATCAGTTCCCTATTGTTAAATTAAAATATATTTAGTTTTTCTCATTACGGACACGATACACAGAATTTGTTGAATATTAAGAATATACAAAAAGGGTAAAAAAAAGAAGGAACAAAATCACTCATAATCCCCATATCTGGAGATATTTTTCCCGTATTTTTATGCCTATGCAAATACATATGTTATTTTTAAAAATTAAACTTCTACCATGCATATTGTGGTATGACCTTCTTTTATCACTAAACAAATCACGGGTTTTAAAAAAATCCTTAAATGTTCTCTGGGGCCATGCATTTTAATGCTCCATTAGAGTCACATTATTGGGTATTAAACTTGGTCTGAGGGGTACACGGGTGACTCAGTCAGTTCAGCATCCAACTCTGTATTTCGGCTCAGGTCATGATCCCAGGGTCATAGGGTCGAGCTCTGAGTCAGGCTCCAAGCTGGACGTGGAATGTGTTTAAGATTCTCTCTCCCTCTCCCTTTGCCCCTTTACCACATGTGCATGCACACACATGTAGGTGTGTGAGTGCTTTGTCAAAAACAAAAAAAGTTGGTTTGAATTTTTTATAGGTAACACTGCAATGAAAATTCTTATAAATAAGTATTTTCGGGGCGCCTGGGTGGCGCAGTCGGTTAAGCGTCCGACTTCGGCCAGGTCACGATCTCGCGGTCCGTGAGTTCGAGCCCCGCGTCGGGCTCTGGGCTGATGGCTCAGAGCCTGGAGCCTGTTTCCGATTCTGTGTCTCCCTCTCTCTCTGCCCCTCCCCCGTTCATGCTCTGTCTCTCTCTGTCCCAAAAATAAACACTGAAAAAAAATTTTTTTTTAAATAAGTATTTTCATGAAACTCTGCAGACCTCCCTAAGATACATTCTTAGAAATTAATCTATTGGGCCAAAGTGGTTGAACTATTTTATTTTTAAGGCTTTTGACACATATTGCCAGATTGCCTTCCACAGAGTTTGTACCATTCTGGGTTCCCCCAAAAGAAGAACACGACTATTCCCAATCCATGCCAACACTATTTAAAAAATTAAGTGTATGTGTGTGTATCCTTTTTAGAAAACTGGAGAATGTAGTTTTTTTTTTTTTCAGTTTAATTGGCCATTTGCATTGACTCTTTTATGAACACGCTCTTTATAACCTGCTCTCATTTTCCTCTATGGCTCTTCATTTTTGTCCATCGTTGTCTTATGGGTTTGTAATTACAATCTGTTTTTAAGGATATAAGCTTCTTTTTGCATGAGTTACAAATATTTTTGTCAGTTTTTCATTTGCTTCTTGAATCTTTTAGGTAAGTAGAAGCTTCTAAATCATCAGATCTCTGATTGCTTTCCCTATCTATTCATCCTTGCCACAAACATCAGGACTTTGAGGTAAGGGCACAAAGTACTGGGAGAATTACAAGCAGAGAAATCTAGTCTAGCAAGTCAGGATATGAAGAGGAAAATAAAAGTTGGTGGATTAGAAGTTCCTAGGACAAAAGTGGGGGGGGGGTTAGCTCTGTGGGAGTGTGGTGGGTTGGCTCTGTGAGGGCCACAGTAGAAGGAGCAAGGCCCTCCTGGGGAGAAAGGATGGTAATGGTGGTATAGAAAAGAAGCTGATGGTGCAGGAGATTTGTAGCTGCTGAGCAAATGTGATTTGGTTGATGGTTAAGGGTGAAACATGGAAGCAATGTGTCAAGGATAGACCCCAGCTTGTCTGTTTTAGACACCTGGAGTGGGTCACAGTGCTGTTCACAGAAAGAGAGTCTTACAGGAGGGCTAGTTTAGGAAAGGGAGCTGGTGAGTTTTGTGATGTTTCATTTGAGGTGTGTGCAGAGCACCCAAATGGCAACGTTGAGTAGCAGCTGGATATACAAGATTAAGCAACTGTGTATAAGGGAACCAACAAAACAGGTCCAGGACTAAGCCAAGAGGAAAACTACCATGTTAACAATCAGGAGGAAACAAAGAAACTGAGAAACTGGGAGGCTACATTCAGAGAGGCAAGAGGCAAACCAGGAAGGTGGGCTGTCAGGGGAGCAGCCAAAGGGGGATCCAGAAGGGTCGGGTTCATAATGACAGAGATGACTGAGTAGTCAAGGAAACTACAAACTTAAATTTGCCCACTGAACTTAGTGTCTTCAAGGTTACCTGTGACCTAAGCAAGAGTAATCTAGAGGGGAATGCTGGCCTCACAGCCCTCCTGCCATGGGCAGAGGAGAGCGCAGAAGGTGAGAGACCCTGACCAGACAAGCCAGTGATTTTGGCCTCCAGAGGACTGATGCAGCAAGAGCGGGGATGGGGAAAGGAGCACAGCAGCGCCCCCTTCCAAAGGCTGGAGAGGTTTTGGCAGGATCACAGGCAACCGGGAAAAATCCAAAATTGAAGTAAGCGGTGGGGTCCAGTCCTGAAAGGCAGCAATGGGGGTGGGTGGAGAGGAAGCACCTTTCCCCTCGTGAGAGAAGACAAGATGGGAAAATGTGCAGCTGCTTTGGAATGGAGAGCTGAGGTGTCCTCATGGCTCCATTTTCTTGAGAAGTGAGGGTGAAACCATCTACCAACAGTCAGGGATTGGGAGAAGATTTAAGAGCTGCAAAGTGAGCTGAACGGAGAAATGGAGATGCTACTCTTAGCAAGGGTCTATCCAGGGGAGGTTAAGACTGTGAGTATCAAGCAGCTGGCATTCAGGCCACCTGGTCTCCTCCAGTATTTCCAGTTTAGAGCAAATTCCCGTTCTCACCCCGGATCAGAACAAGAGTCATGTGTATTGTCTTCTGCTTGATTTATTCCCACTTTCTTTTTGAACCTAATTTGTTGATCCGTCTGGAATGTATTTTATATATTGCACGAAACAGAAATCTCACTGTAGTTCTTTACGGTTTTCTTAGAACAATTAGTTGACCAGTCAGAACTTTCCCCAGTGATTTAAAATATCACTTTCCTAGCATGTTCAATTATTTTATATCCTGGCACATGCTGAGCGGCTCCCCGCTCTATTTCCGAGTCACAGCCTCTTATTCTGACAGTATCTCTCTGTTGTATTCATGTAACATGTTTTAATAGTTGACAGAACAAGTCCCTTTCTTTTACTGTTCTTCTTTTGCGAGGTTTTCTGGGCTTTCACTACCCTGTTGTTTTTCCAGAACACTGGAAAAAGTTTAAAAAACTTCAAAAATGTTCCATCAGAATTTTTATTCCAGTTGTATTCTTCACTTCTCTGAGGGACAAATGACACCTTTTTATAATGAGCCCTCCCACCAGTCATGCTGTACAAATCGTCATTTATTAATGCTTCTTTTTATGTCCCTTAGTCAGAAATATGTTTTTAAAATTCCTTACACATTACATTTCTAGGACTTTATTGCTTTTCGTCATATTATTTTTGACTCTATTAAAAAGTATCTCTTATGAAATCTATTACAGACAAAAGGAGAGGTAATGAACGAATAGTTTATAAAATAATTATGAAATGAACACACATGTACCAACTATCCCCTCTAAGAAACAAAACATCACTGCATCACTGAAGTACCCTGCGTGTTCCATACTGCTGACTTCTCTCTCCCCATCAAAACAAAAACAAAACAAAAAATATCCAAACAAACAAACAAACAAACAAACAAAAAACACCCAGTCAGGTACTAGCCAGGTTTTATGCTAATCATTCTATTTTTATTTGGAGTTATAAATATATGCATCTATCCCAAGATATCATTTTGCTTCCTCCGGCTTCATGACATACATATGAAAGTAAGTCTTTGTATTAAATGATTTGCATTTGTCACTCAATATTGTTTTGATATTCATATCAGTTGATACAGGTAGTTGTATTTCATTCATCT